CTACTTCAACAGGTGAACGGCTCTCCCCCTGCCGCCAGAGCTGGAGGAGGTGGACTGGCCGACTGTCTCGGCCTCGTCCTGCTCGACGCCGTCCGCGGCGAGAGTCTCGGCGGCGACGGTCTTGGCCGTGACGATGCCATCGTAGCCGAGGTACGTCGCGAGGGTGGGCGCATCCTTGTCTACCTTCTCCTGCGACGGTTTCACCAGCAAGATCGAATCCGCTCGCGTGTTGGCCCCTGTCAAGCGCACCGACTGCTTGAGTTCCGCGCGCCATACGTCGAGGCTGATGGCCTTCTGATTCAGCATCTTGGACAGGGGCCCGTCCTCGTCGAGCTTCACCGCGGACCGAACTTTGACCAGCTCCACGTTTGTCGACTTGGGCTTCCCTGGGACCATCCACGCAGGCGAACAACAGGGGGATGTCGTCTTGTCGAAGCCCGTGCCGGTCATGAAGATCCCGAACGTGGCGACGACGGCGCCGTGCTCTGGCTCCTTGTCCCCGCCCCCCGGCCCCTGCAGCTCTCTCGGTTGGCAGACCTGAACTGCGAGCGCGAGCAAGCTGTTCGTCTCCTTTGTCCACGTCGCCTTGCCGAAGAGAATCATGTGGAAATCGTCGTCATGGGTCGCCGTTTTACCGCAGTACCTCACGCCGCCCTTCTTATCAGATACATCCACAGTGACCAGCTCGGTGCACCCGAGCCGCTGGCTAGCTTGGTGGTCTGCCAGGTAGCGCCCCTCAACGACGTTGCAGACCATCTGGAGCATAGGGAGGCCGAAGTCGGTCGTGCGCACGGTGATCTTCGGGGCATCCTCGAAGTCCCTGCCGTCGAAAAGCTCTGCAGCGCTCTCCACCGCCGCGCCGAAAAAGGTGAACTGGTGCAAGTCCTTGACGGACCAGTGCTGCTTCTCCGAGATCTCCACGAGCATCCGGTGCTTCGCTTCGGCGGCCACCTTCGCGGCGGCCGCCGCGGCTGCCTCCTGCTCCTGCTCCTTCCTTCTGGCCGCCGCCTCCTCGTCAGCCAGCGGTTTGCCAGCGTCGGCGGCGCTGGCCGCAGCCCCACAGCTGCCGCTCCCCCCCGGGAGGTCCTTCAGGAGGATGTGCAAGTTTTTAATGCCCAACTCTTCCAGGCGGCTGGTCGCCACCTTGATCGCGACCTTCTCGAGGCCCTCGAGGTCGTCTTTTGTGTCAGCGACTTGCTCGTCCATCGCCTTCACCAATTCCTTCCAGTGCTCCAGCCACGCTGACTCGTCCGCGTCGCCCCCGTTCGAGCAGCAACCCAGCAGGCCATCCAGGTACGCCACGCGGGACATCGCCACCTGGCCATTCGTCGAAAGCACGTCCTTCGAAAGAAGCTTCAGGGCCTTGGCCAGGGCTGGGTATAACTCGCTGATCTCGGACAGCACAGTAAGCGTAAAGGCGGCTCGAGCGTGCACGACGATCTCGAAAGACCTGATGTCTGGGAAGAGTACCTTAAAAGTATCATTATCGCCACTGTTCTTCAGACATTCGAATGCGCTCACGCACCATAGGCTCCCTGGTCCCAACTCCAAGTCGATGCAGAGGCGGCTGACGTGATGCAGGAAGTCGCTGTAATCCTTGCCGAAAACGACGCACAGGCCCCCCTCGATGAAAAGCAACAGATCACTCGGACGGGTACTCGGGCGACATCCGCTATCCTCCAAGGCGTCCCAAACTGACATCTTGAACTTCATGTATTCCTTGGTGCGAACTACCGGCCGACCGAGGTGTCCTGCCACAAAAGCCTGAAGCATGCCCTGGACCGCGCCATCCTTCAGCAGCTCGGCGATATGTGAAATGCGGCAAGCGCTGGGGTCCACGACATTCATAAAGCGGGACGCCATGGTTTCGGAAAGCTGGTCCTCGGTCGCGGCCTGCTCGTCCATGATCATCGCGTCCCCAGCAGCGCAGATGCGCTTCCAAGTGCGGGTGCGGAGCTCCTTGCGCAGCTTCGACCACACCTTCCAAACCTTCCCAAAGCACTGCACCTGCCCAGTCAGCACGAAGCAGCAGATGAGATGGACGGAGTCAGCAATGATAGCGAAGTACTTCATGCACTGATCCTTCGTGTCCTTGTCCATGCGAATCTCGGGCTCGCCCTTGGTGGCGGCGGCCCCGGCGGCGGCCTTGGGAAAGAAATGCTTCCTGGTGTCAGACGAGGGGTGGCCTCGAGGCAGCAAGCTCCACAGCATCAGCAGCGCATCCTCGCAGAAGACCTTCCCGCGACCCTTGCCTTTGTTGTCCAGGGGCATCACGTGGGCCGCCAAGACTTCCTCTGGTTCCTGCATCTTCTCATCTGTTTTCTTTGCTTTCTTCTCTTGCGGCGGCTTGGCGTACACCACGCTGTTCGCCATCTCTGTTCGAAACAACCGAATCTTCTCTGGGTCAGTCTTATCATGCACGCAGGCGGCGAAATGACCAGACAGTGGCACGCCTGGGAGCCTGTCCTTGTCCGGGGCCCTCTTGAAGGGCAAGAGATACGTAAGGCCCTCGATGGCGAGAATCTGCAAGGCCATGGGGTCCACGAAGTCAGTCGACATGTTGACCGCGCTGATGAACGAGTAGAGGTTGAGAATGGCGACTTTGTTCGTCACGGCCTTGAAGTCGCAGACGTCGCCGATAATCTGATAGATGGGGTCCGCCCAGCAGCGTTCCAGGAGAGTCTTGGTCAGGATTGACGCCCGCTGGAACTCGTTGTCCGAACTATACACGCCTGGGAAATTCTTGTTGAGGAACTGCATCTCCGCCGAGGGGCCTGCTCTCTCCCTGTCGGCCTGGCCCGCCTCGCTGTCTTTCTCGTCGGCGGCCCTCTTCCTGTGGCGGGAGCCCATGTTGGCGCTGTCCTGGGAGGAGGAGAGAGACTGGAGAGGGCGAGGGAAAAGGGGTGGGAACATCACGCGGTCCTTCTCGATCTGCCACATGGCGGCAGCGCCTGGCGTCTTCTTGAGCACCTCCAAGAAGCTAGTCCCAACGCCCTTATGGAACTGGTTCAGGAAGTCCCTGAGGTGGTCGGTGACATCGGTGGGCGTACAGAAGTCAATTGTCTCGATCTCCAGCGGGGTTGCAAGCGTCAGCTTCACGTTGTCATTCTCTGGCCATAACTGCAGCGCCCTGAAGATGCCGCGGCATAGCGTGCCGTACGCGATGAGCAGCCAGGGGTGAGGATCCTGGCTCTTCTCTGGATCCGCGCTGGGCATCGCGATTGCATGCCCTCTCACCATCTGTATGTTGCCGAACTCCTTGATGGACTCGGCCGCATCCTGAACGGCCTGCTCGTGGTGTCTCACGTTCTCGGGGTGAACGTCGATCAGCCTCTTGCCCGTCGCAGGGTCCAACAAGTAGACGGACTTCTTGCCCCTGCCATAGTCGCGCATGACCCGCTGCAAGAGCCGCAGCCCCGGCGCGCAACCGGGGTAGCGTTCGAAGATGTTGTCCTGACTGGGCCCCCCCAAAAAAGCCATCCTCCTATTCCCCCTCCTCCTCCCAACATTTTGGGTTGAAACGGGGCCTCCTTCACGTCCTCAAGTCCTCGTCCTTCTCTTGCTCCGCCCTCCCCCCCCCCGCTTCGCCGTGCCCCGGGCGGAAGAGGCCCCGGGGCCCCAGGACTCAGAAAGGGAAGCTGGAGAAGGAGAATGAGGAGAAGGAGCAGGAGAGGGGGGGGGCGGAGGGGGGGAGGAGGCGGAGGGCACGGGCGAGGAGAAGGAGCGAGGGAGGGAGGGAGGGATCGAAGAGGGGAGGGATGAGGGAGGAGGAGTTGAGGAGTTGAGGAGGAGGGAGGAGGTGGATAAGAAGGAGGGAGGAGGAGAAGGAGAGGAGGAGCAGGAGAAAGGAGAAGGAGGGAGGAGGAGGAGGAGGAGAAAGAAGGAGGGGGAAAAGGAGGGGGAGGTCCTTGGAGGTGGAAAAGGGCGAAGAGGAAAACCCCGATCCTTCGGGGCGTACATGAGATGCTTCAGCTTGGACACGGGCGACAACATATGAGGTGTGTCGGCCCCGATGTCGCCGGAGCTTGGCGTCTTGGGCGTCTTCTGCTTATGCTGCCCCTGGCCCTGGCCCTGGCCCTTGTCTGACGGCGAGTCGGTCGACGACGCCGGCGGCTGTGACTGTGACATCTGGCTCTGGAACTGGCGCAAGTGTAGCAGGGGTTCCTCGGTCGGTCGGTCGAGTCGTCTGGCTGGTTGCCAGCAGATCAATGGCTCGAGCCAGAACGGCGCGGCGAACGGAGGAGCTTCCAGCCCCGGGAGCTTCCAGCCCCGCCAGGGCCGTTCTCGTCGGGCCTCGGCAGATGGGCCCGATGGGCCGATGGGCCCTTGCCTTGCCCCTGCCCTTGTTCCTCTTGGCCTCGCGGGCCTCTTGGCCCTCGTCGGCCACCCAGTAGATCCGAAGCCCTAGAGTCTAGTCGAGAACGAGTGCCCGCGTGATTAGCCCCCCGATCCGCCCTGGCATCGTTTCTGGAATTTCTGGGCGGTTTAGTTGGTTGGGCCAACTCGCGCGTCATTGAGTCACGTAGCCACGTAGCCTCGCTTCGCGGCGGTTCTTATCCTCTGCCTCTCATCTCCCCCCTTGGCCCCCTCCTCATCCTCCTCTCCAGCCTGTCCAACTCTTCCTCCCCTCATCCCTCTACTTCTTCCCCTCCGCGCTCTGGGCCCTGGACTCTCGGGGGGCCCTTTGGAAATCGCGACCACCCCACCCCCGCCCCGAAACTCCAGGACGGAAGGACGGACCCCTTTGGGGCCTTTGTCCCTTTGGGCCCTTGGGCCCATTGGGATTCCCAGACCCCCTGGAATTTGAACTCCTGGACCCACCGGGATTCCTGGACCCCTCGCCTGCCTGCCAAGTCGGGAAGCCGCTGCCAGGAAGCTTGCCGCTGCTGTGCTTGGGCTCAGCTAGCCTGGCGATCGGTCGTGAGTCGCCCGTCGCCTTCCCCCCCCTTCCTCTCCCCGCTCGCCCCCTCTGCTCCGCCCTTCCCTCCCCCCTGGCCCCTCGCCCCCTCCCTCCGTATCTCTCCTGTTCCGCCTCCTTCCTCCTCCTCCTCCTCCTCCTCCTCTTCCTCCTCCTCCTCTTCTCCTTATCCTCCTCCTCCTCCTCCTCCTCCTCCTCCTCCTCCTCATCATCGTCCTCCTCTTCCGTTCCTTCCCTTCCCGTCCTCTGTCTTGCTCCTCTTTCCTCCTCCTCCGGCCATCCGGAGGTCCTCCTCCCCCTAATCCCCCTCCTCTCAACGCCGCGCGCCTTCGCGAGGCTCGCGCCGCCGACGCGGCGGCCGCGACGGCAGGCCCCAGCCCCGGCCCCTCTTGAAGGAGCAAGGGGGAAGGAGGAAGGGGCCCAAGGAGGAAATAAGGATGGGGAACGAGGAGGTCGGAGGGGGAGGGGAGGGAGGCGAGGGGCAGAGGGGATGGGGAGGACCCGTATGACCCTCAGGACCCTCGGGAGTTCGGAATGACCCTCAATTGCAGCTTCGACATTCTTGTTGCTACTGCCTGCCACTGTCTGACTCTATATCCTCGGCACTGCTGCGCAATGCCGCTGCCGCCGATGCCTGAACCGCTGCAGCGCGACAAATCTAAAAGCTGGCCCGATATGTATAGACGGACGACCTGCTTGTTGCAAACAGCGACGCAACGTCAGGGGCCAATGGGCGGTCGGGCAGTGGTTGGCCCTGATGTCAAAATCAGACGGCGCGTCTTGCATCGCGCTGTGAGCTAGAAACTGGAGCTACGTTACCAACAGTGCTAGGTTGCGTGATATACATACCCTGGAACTGGAACGCCAGAGTGACGCAGCACCCGAAGCGCGCGAAAACTGCGCAAAACAAAACAGTTGCCTGGCCAGTGGCCAGCGCCAAACCTCTCGCGCCTGCCGCCGCCTCGGTTTCTCGAGCTCTCGGCTCTCGTCGCAACTGGGCGTTCATGCCCCCAGGGCCCCTGGGCCGCCTCTCCCTCCCCTCCTCTCCTCTCTCTCTCATTCTCATCCCTCTCTCGTTCTTTCTTTTGTTTGTTCTCTCTCTCTCTCTCTCTCTCTCTCTCTCTCTCTCTCTCTCTCTGCCTGCCTCCCTCCCCATCCTGTCTGGCGCCAGCCAGCCTCACTCACGCTCGGGGCGAGGGCCCGCGACGGCGCGCATGTAGTTCACGACGCCCACGACCTCGGCGACCCAGTCGGGGTCATCCGTGCGCTCCTCCTCACTGAGAACGAAAAGGGTTGCCAAGATCCACACCGCGGACAGCGCGGCGTGGTTCATGGAGTTGCCAGCCTGCTTCGCCACCGAAGACCTGCGGGCGGGCGGGCAAGGGGAGGGGGGGGAGCGGGGAGGGGAGGTGATTATTTTCGAGCTCATCCGAAGAAACCTCCCGGCCCCCGCCCCCAGCCACGAAGGCCGCGGGCCCCTGGTCGAGGGCCCGCCTGGGCTCGGGCCCGTCAGGGCCCCGCCGCCAGGTCGTGCATGTTGTGATTGTGATTGTCCAGGGCCTAACTCAGAAAAAAAAAAAAAAAAAAAAAAAAAAAAAAAAAAAAAAAAAAAAAAAAAAAAACTCTTCGTGTCCTCATCCTTCTCAGCTTCCTCTCCCTCCCTTTCTCCTCCTTCTCCCCGTCCTCAGTCCTCCTCAATTATCCAGCTGCTCACTCTCTCTCTCTCACTCTCTCTTCTCTCTCTCTCTCTCTCTCTCTCTCTCTCTCTCTCTCCTACTCTCTCTCTCTCTCTCTCTCTCTCTCTCTCTCTCTCTCTCTCTCTCTCTCTCTCTCTCGTCTCTCTCTCTCTCTCTCTCTCTCTCTCATCTCTCTCTCGTTTCTCTCTCTCTCTCTCTCTCTCTCTCTCTCTCTCTCCTCCCCCCGCCTCCCCCTCCCCTCCTCCTCGCCCTCCTCCTCCTCCTCCTCCTCCTCCTCCTCCTCCTCCTCCTCCCCCTCTCCTTCGCCCTTCTCCTCCTCCTCCTCCTCCTCCTCCTCCTCCTCCTCCTCCCACCAGGGCGCGCCTCGAACGGTCCGCGTCCACGCGGTACCTGTCGTCGGCGAAACTGCACGCGTGCACGGGCTCGGACCTGATGCACTTCGGAGAGACCAGGTGAGAGTACACGGGGAAGCCCTGCATCAGGAGCACCTCGCGCTTGGTCAACCAACGCGAGTCGCGGTCAGACCAATGCAAGCCCGGGTTGGCCGTGATGCTGTGGAGCGGTGAGTCGCTATCGCTGCTGGTGTTGAAGAATTGGGGCCTCTGGCTCAGCATGTAGCATCCTCCAGGGCGAACCCCCTGGTAGTCGCGCAGCACCCCATTTTCGAAAGTCGTCAGAGTCGCGAGAAAGGGGTTCGCCATCGCCAAGACCTCCTCAACCTCCTTGCCCTTTGAGATTGACGTGGGCCTCGAGAGAGCCCATTTGATCTCGTCCTCCTTCTCCTTGTCAGTGGACAACATGAGATCGCGCCACGAGATATCGCATTGTCTGCTGAAGAAGCTCGCCATCAGAGTCATGTCGCAATACTGCGTCATCAAAGAGTCCTTGAGGATCAGCATGGCGTAGAAACGGGGCCTCCGCCCCACCCACCCGAAACGCGTCGGGTCGAGGATGTCATAAGTGATCACGTAGAGGTGGCCAAGAATCGAGTCGAGCACCTCCGGCTTCAGCCTGTCGCTGCACTCCACGAGCACCACGGGTTCTTTCAGCTGGCAGCGCATGGCACCCCACGCGCTCCAAGCGACCATGCATGAGCCGTCAGTCCCGTCTCGCCTCCCAGCAGGTGACAGCGAGACGCAGGGGATCCCCGCCCAGTGGTAGTCGGCCTTCTCGGGCTTGCAGTTGCCGCTGCCATCGCGGCCGCCGGGGCCGTGCACCAAGCACGCGCAAGACTTCATGTCCACGGCCTTGCCGCACTTGAGGACGGGGAGCAAGCTCTGCAGCGGGATCTTGACACCCCGCCTGGTGTAGTGCGCCATCTCCTTCCTCAAGCGAGGCACGAAGAAGTCCGTGATATCGCCGAACATGCAGACGGGCGCAGAAGGGTGCGCCTTCAGCTCTTCGTTGGACGCGGAGCAGTATTCGATGCTGAACGCATGGTGCATGTGGAATGGGCCCGGGTGCCTGTAGCCAGAGATAGCCGCCAAGACGTCGGCGAACTGAACCGCCGTGACCGTCAACGCCGACCCGGGCGCGTCCACCCCTGAGAACGATGTCGAATACTTGCACGCATCAATCTTCTGCAACAACTTGTGGATGAAGCTGGCGCCTAGGCGCGGTGCAACCACTCCCTTCTCTCCTCCTCTTCTCCCTACCTATCCTCATGATCCTCTCCCTCCTGCTCCTCCCCCTCATCCTCCTCCTCCTCAGGCTCCTCCTCGGACTCCTCCTCCTTCCTTGCCTCTCCCCTCCCCCCCCTCTTCCTCCCTCCTCATTCCCTCTCCCTCTCCCTCTCCCCTCTCTCCCTCTCTATCCCTCAGCCTCTCTCGCTTTCTCTCTCTCTCCCTCTCTCTCTCTCTCTCTCTCTCTCTCTCTCTCTCTTCCCGCTCCGTCTGTCTGTCACTTTCTCTCCCTCTCTCTCTCTCCCCCTCTCTTGTCTCTCTCTCTCTATCTCTCTCTCCTCTCACATCCTGTCTCTTTCTCTCTCCTTTCTCTCTGCTCTCTCTCTCCTCAGTCTCTCTCTCTCTCTCTCCTCATCTCCTCTCTCTCTCCTCTCTCTCTCTCTCCTCTCGTCTCTGCTCTTCTCTCTCTCCCTCTCTCTCTCTCTTCCTCTCCTCTCTCTCTCCTCTTCTCTCATCTCTCTCATGTCTCTCACTCTCTCTCTCTCTCTCTCTCGCTCTCTCTCTCTCTCTCTCTCATCTCTCTCTCTCTCTCTCTCTCTCTCTCTCTCTCTCTCTCTCTCTCTCTCTCCCCCTCTCTCCCTCTCTCTCTTTCTCCGCTCTCGTTCTCCTCTTCCCCCTTGCCTCCGCGACCCCTCCCCCTTCCCCCATCTCCTCCTTGCCTTCCTCGTCAACATCCCCGTCGACGTCTCGCCACCCCCTCCTCGAGGCCCTCGCCGCTCTCTGATTATTGGTCAATGTGGGGGCAGTTTTAGGTGGGCACCGACGGGCGAAGCCATCAGGAGTTTCTTGGCGTTGTACTCTCCGTAGCTCAGCAGATCGTCCACGCTCGAAACGCTGGAGCTCATGTCCTGGAGCACCCTCTGCACGCGATCCCCATCGACTTCATCGATGTGGAATGGTAGAAAGAGTGGCGGCGGCGATGGCGGAGGCGGAGGGGCCTGGTCAGGGCCCGCTGCCGAATCCGCATCTGGCACTGGCACCCATGGCTCCTCCTCCATGGGCACGGTCTCCGGGAGACTGGGACGCGGACTCGGCAGCTCTGGGGCCCCCTCCTCGCCCTCGCCCTCGCCCATCTCCTCGTCGTCGCCGTCCTGGAGAGACAGGAAGGAGAAGGGGGGGGCCCCAGCAGGAGGGAAGGGAGGGGAGGAGAGGGGAAGGAAGGGGGGGGTAGGGAGGGGGCAGAAGGCAGAGGGGGGTCGCGGGAAGGAGGAGGGGAGGAGAAGAAGGGGCTGGCCTCAGAGAGCCCGAAGACACCTCCACGAGTCCACGAGAGCCGCAATGGGGTCTCCAAGGGGCCTCCGCACAAACTTACCTCTAGAAGCCATCCTGGGGCCTCCTCGGGGTCCGTTGCGGCGCCCTCTTGGGGCCCAAAACCGCCTCCGCAACCGAGAACCCTACGAACGAGGAGAGAGGGGGAGGAAGAATGGGTCCTCGCCCTCGCCGCCGCGCAGCGCCCCCATGAGCTGCATCGCCGCCAGCCCCACGCCGGAGCTGCTCGCGGCGGAGGCGCCGTCCGCGCCCAGCCGCGGGATGCCGCTGCCGCTGCTGCCTCCAGCTGCCGGCTCGCTCTCCTCACCGTCGGCAAGAGCATCGCAGAGAGCGAGGGGGGTGCTCGACGGCCTCGGCCGCACCCCGCCCCACATGGGGATGGCATCAGCGAAGTTAAGGCGGACCCACACTTGCCCCCCCGTGTACGGGGCCAGCCTGCAAGGCGTGATCTCCACGATGTCTTCGAATATCCAGAGGTAGGGGTCCCCGCCCTTGCAGATCGCATCCATGTCCTCGAAGCTGCAGCGAGTGACGTGGAAATGGCTGTTGAAATCCTCGCGGCGCACTCTGTTGCTGCTGACGTAGGTGCCTTTGTAACGGGCGACCCACGACGTCAATTTCTTTCCTTGGCGACTAGCAGAGGGAAACGGGATGCCCGTGCCGCACTCCAGGAAGAACACTCGTTCACCTTTGTATCTGCAATGGCACGGCTTAGGGCGGACCTCAACGCATTTCCCATTGCCAAACTGGGAGATGTGGGGTTCCCTGATGAGCAGACCAGTGTCTGGCAGTCTCTGCAAACCTGTTGGCGTCGTGCGTTCTGGGCGGCGCTTCTGACCCCCCTTCGGGGGCTGACTCTGTCCAGCCTTGGTCTTCAAGGGCAACGGCATCGCGGCTGGGCGAGACGAGAGGACTCGTTGTCGTCTGTCTGGCAGCGAGAAGCAGCTGAGCTGAGCAGGCTGAGCAGAAAGGAATGGCTACGGGGGAACTGAACGAGGGCCACGAAGGCGGGGGCGTGGGCAATGAACAACAACACTGGCGGTTTTGTCGGCCCCTGGGGCCCCTGGGATCCTCGCTGGGCTTCAATGTTCAGCCCCTGGGCCCCCTGGGATCTCAGGGCGAGGGAGGGCGGAGCAGGGGCCGGACAGGCACCAGGAGGAGAAGGACGACGAGGACGAGAGGACGAGACGCGACGAAGAGGATGGAGGAGGAGGAGGAAGAAGAGGAGGAGAGGAGGAGGACGAGAGGAGGAGGAGAAGGCGGCGCACCGCTGACACTGACACCCGCTCCTGATTCAAGCGCGGGCCGGGCAGCGGAAGACAGGGGGCGAGGCCGCACCGCCATCGCCCAGCAGAAAGGGGCCAGGAGGAGGGCCGCACCCCTGCGACCGAGCGGCGCCCCCTTGAAAAACTTGCAGCGGCATCCGAGGGCCGCGGCTCGAGGGGGCCAGCCTCGCCCCCCCCCCCCCAACCCACCCTGCTCCACGTCCCGATCCACCCCCGCGGGGGAGGAGGAGAGGAGGAGAGGAGTCGGCCACTGCTGCAGGTGGCGCTAAGATTGGCCGAGGGCCCCCTCCCACGAGGACCTCGCCCCTGAACAACTTTTGGCCGGGGATCGGGCCTCCCGCGCCGCGCCCGAAGAACAAAAACAAATGCCTTGGGCCAAGGGCTGCCCAGGCAAGCAGCACGGCAGCGCTGCGCGCCCACCTCGGCCCCAGCGAAACGGCCGGGACTTCCAGGGGCCGCGTCCATGCCCAAGGGGGGCAGCGAAGAACGGATTTCAAAGGCTAGCGTCTCGGCTGCCAGCTGGGATCTACCCGAGGCCGCAGGCCCAACGCCTGCGGTGTGCCTCGCCACTCCCTTCTCTTAGTCTCCGTCGGAGATGCGTCTCGCTGCTTGTATGCTAATATTGTATATGTCGGTAGATTTGCAAACGATGCGCGGGTGTGCTTGAGGTGAATGTGTCGGAGCACTTGCGTGTCATTGCGGCGTGTCTGATGAAAGCATGCGTGCGTGGGTGCGATTGCATTTGCATGTGATCACGTCTGTCTGCCACGGGCTCTTCAGAGGGCGGGGGGCGATGGCAGCCTTCGAAGCAACCCCAGCGAGTGCAAAGGGAATCGACGCGCCCTGGACGGCCTCGGGGGGGCCCAGACGCGCGCGGGGGCCCCGAAGTAGTTGGGGGGGCGCGCCTTCAGAGGGGGGCAAGGGGCCCTGGAGGGGCGGGCCCCGCGGGCCCCCGGAAACACCTCTGAAAGAGGGGGCGGCAGATGATGTGGGGGGGGCCCAGAGGTACCAGAAGCACATCCGCGGGAGGAGGGGGGGGGCCGGAGGTGCCTCCAGGTGGGGGGGGGGCGGCAGGCGCCTCCGAGGGAGGGTGTGGAGGGTCGCGGAAGCACGTCCATGGGTTAGGGGGGGGCTGGGCGGAGGCACCTCGAAAACCGGAAGGGATCCCGGAGGTGCCCCGGGAGGAGAAGGGTGGGGGGGGGGGGGGATGGGGGGGGGGGGGGGAGATCCCGGAGGTAACCTCCGGGGGAAGTGGACCCTGCGGAAGGAAGGGGGGAGTCCCTGAGGTGCCTCCGGGAAGGGGGGGGGGTCCCGGAGGTACCACCCGGGAGGGGTGGGGGGGTCTCCGGAAGTACCTCCGGGGGGGGCGGGTCCGGAGGTACCTCCGGGGGTGGGGGGGTCACCGGAGGTACCTCCGGGGGGGGGGGTGGGGGTGGGTCCCTAGGTACCTCCGGGGGGTGGGGGGGGGGGGGGGGGCCGGAGGCACCCTCCGGGGGGGGGGGGGGGTCCCGATGTACCTCCGAAACCACAAAACGGTCCCGAGGGACCTCCTTGACCTCCTGGGGGGGTCTCGGAGGTACCTCCGGAGGGGGGAAACGAGAGGGGGAGGGGGGGGGGGGTCCCGGAGGTACCTCCGGGGGGGGAGGGGGGGGGGGGGGGGGGGGGCCGAGGTACCTCCGGGAAGGGGGAGGGGGGGGGTAGGGGGGGGGTCCCGTAGGTAAACCTCCCGGGGGGGGCGGGGGGTCCCGGAGGGTGCCTGCCGTGGGGCCCCGGAGGTACAGTCCGGAGGAGAGGGTTCTCCGTAGGTACTTCCCGTGGGGGGGAGGGGGTCCCGGAGGTGGCTTCCGGGGGGGGGGGGTCCTGGAGGTGCCTCTGGGGGAGGGGGGGCTTGGAAGTGTTTCTGGGGGAGGGCGGGCTGTCTAGGAGGGGAAGGGGCGCCGGGGGCCTCGAGGCGGGCGGGGGCCCTTGGAGGCACCTCGGAGGCCCAAGGAGAGGGTGAGTTACGGTTCGCTGTGGATGTTTTTTTTTGTGAAGGGGGCCCCCAGGGAGGGCAAGTTAGGGTTCGTTGTGGATGTTGTCTTGCCTTAGGGGTGCAGGGGGCCCGGAGGCGCTTCGGGGGCAGGCGATGGGGGGGGGGCATCTCGGAAATTTCTGCAGGGGGAAGGGGGCACGGCCTCGAAGCATCGATCCTCGATCCTCAAGGGGTGGGTCGAGGGGCGCCTGCAAGCGCCTCTGGGAGTGGCGGGCGGACTCGGCGCACATCGAGCAAGGGAAGGGCTCGACAAAAAAGTCTACAGTGCAGGACTGCCTCTGGGGCCACGACCCATGGTGAATTGCGCTGCGCCCGCTGCCTCCAACCTTTCCCTGGATTCGAGCACCCCTCGCGAATACTTGACGAGGGCAGGCAAGTTGGGTGCCTCTCAAATCTAACAGTCAACGAGGCGACGCCTCATTCCGAACCAACATCCTGCCCCTCCCAAGCCCCCCCCGCTCGACGACGCCCGCGCGCGGACGCAGGTCTTGGCCAGCCCGTGCCAAGCGCGCGATCGTCGACCCTGGCAAAGCCAACGGGTTTCAAGAGATCACGCGCCTATCACGGGCTAGCCGACATCTGCGTCGACGCGAGGGCGTCGTCGTGATTATTCACTGGGCGGAGTGCAGAGGGCAGAGGCGAGGTCGGGCCAGCAACAGCAGCCGCCCCCTGCCAGGCGCCCAGCCGGGCGACGCGATCACACCGGTCGGGACCAGGCGCCAGCGGCCGCCCGCCTGCGGGAGCTGGGGGGGGAAGGAGGAGGAGAAGGAGAAAGATGAGGCGGGGGAGGAGGAGAAGGAAGGGGGGGGGGAATCCCGGGGCGCAGGAGGCCGGGGGTGAGTAGGAGGAGGAGGCGGAGGAGGAGGAGGAGGAGGAGGTGGATTGGACAGCGGAATGATGAGGAGAAAGGAGAGGAGTAGACGGAGGAAAGGATGAGGATGATGAGGATGGAGCGTGGGTGGGGCAGAGAAGCAGCATGACATTGCGAAACTCGTTGCTGGGGCATTGGCAAGTTTACTCCTCCTCCTCCCCCTCCTTTCCCGTCTCCTTCCCTGGCCGCTCGCCGCTGGCCCCTCCCTCGCCCTCCCTCTCCCTTGCCCTCCCCCTCCTCGCCCTCCCCCCTCGCCTTATCTCTCCCATCGCCTCATCCCCGCCCCCCCTCCCCCTTTGGGCCGCGCCGCCTAGCGCTCCTCGAACCACGCGATGCACGCCGAGCACGCATGCGGCCGCAGCGCGGCAGCAAGAGGAGCTTTGGCCGCAA